TCGTGGAAGACTCTTTTATGATTAAAAACAAGAGTCATAAGCGACTCATCAAGAAGAGTCGCGGGTAGGGTACCATTTTCTCCCGACAGAACAGTCTTTTATGATCAGAAAATGAGCGCACATATGACTGTTTTCAATCATCGCGCGAGTCTTTTAAGACTAACTTATGCTCTGTTAAACGCAAAAATGCTTGCTGGGTTCCTTTTCAACGAAGTAAAGTGGTCGACCAACTTAACATTTTCTGCTGTAGAAAAATTTGTTCTACATGTCTAGTCTATGTGTTCTCTGGTCAGTGCCCAGGTCTAATTCAAAGCTCGAACGCGTAAGTAAATTGTAAAAATTTTAATTTTAGTTATTTAATTTTGGATTTTTCCCTCAGAAGTACTTAGTATCAATGGAAAAATGGATAAGTATCTGGGGAAAACTGGTGAGTGATTACTTTACAAAACGGAGATTTCATTTTTGAAGTTCGCGAGTATATGCAGTAGCACGCTAGTTTTATTTAGGTATTTAAATCAGTGGTCAACACATACAATTTGCGATGCACCGCTGCAGTTTTCTGCCTGACAAACTTGTTTTGCTTCTCTATTGCTTATATAATTTGCCAGTTAAGTTAATTTCGCTATGTCTTTTTATGAAATAGCTCCGATCTTCTAATTATGAAAATAATATACAACAAGCCTACAAACGCAAGAGGAACACGTCTAGTACCGTTCTATAAATGCAGACTTTAAGAAAAAATGGAGTATATTGTAGTTATTTTAAATGTTCGATAGTACTATCGATAATATCGATGGGTTTCACTATCGGATGTGAAAAAATCAGGAAAAATCACTATCGATAGTTTTGCATCCCTATCGCTTTATCATATCACATAAAGCCTTCCTCACTAGTGGCACGACTAAATCACATATACAATAAAATTTAAAGGAGTTTTTTATTTTCTAAAAACTTAGCATCAGAAAATTGTATACATGCATATATTATTCATAATAGCCAAATTGAAATCGTAACTGCTCGTACAAAAGAAACATAATAATTGTCTGCGGAATCATGCGTAACAAATTTGGCATAATGCCACGAAATAGACCTCTGATGCCGAAACGCATCATATACGTAATCTTTTCTGAAGTTGTGGTTAAATAACCGGTCGTTCTGTTCATTTGCATCGTTTTAAGTATCTCGATGGGCTGAACCAAGGGAACACACAAAACGGCTGCAGTGAGTGAGCTTGTTATATGCAGGATTTTACTATCTTCGTTCCACGCATAGTAATGCGTATACATCATTTTGCTCTGCAAATGTCATTTACAGATACTAGTAATAAAATCAAAATAGTTTCTGACCTGATCATACATCGCATTCTGTCCAATATTAATAATTGTGGCACGAGTAAAAGAACATAAGCCTCCCGTATAGAGCGCCCTAAAACCCTCATCCCGCCATATTCTATGCAGACCGTCAAAGACGTTTTTATAATTTCGCCTATATTTCACTTTTAGCAACCGATCCACATGCATGCGAGTGTTAACCAGTTCACAAGGTATTCCGACAATCCCAGCCACTAAGCCAGATATACTCGCCACACAAACCTTGTGTAGGAAATTGTATTCATCGACGTATCGTTTTCCCACTTGGTACAGATGGAATCGTAATGTCGTATAAGATAGCTGTCGTAAAAATTGGGCGCTCAGACCGTCATACAGTGATAAAAATCCTGAAATATTAATAATGAACTACATCAATTTGTCCAATCATATGACATTCAAATATGTATGAATTAAAATTAATCAATTGGCAGCATGGCATCTCGGGAAACCTATATTTTCTATAGCTTTAGAGCTAGAAACTGGATGGGCTTATGTATCCGCCATATCTATTTATAAACAAGTAAGAACTTTGAGTTACCGACTGGAGAATACTTATTCACGGCCCAAATGATTCCACATCCGCAATACCTAATTGGTTTGGACTGCCAACCCGACTATTTATTCCAAAACTTTAATTCTTTAAATATAATAGTGCTGAAAAGAGTATTATAATTTGTGAATCGATATATCCGTTATAACTTTTTGAACTTGTGTTGTTGATGCGAGTATATATTCCAAGTTTCAAGTTTACAGCTCTGCAACTAATATTTTTGATATATCGTAAAATGCAATTTGCAATTCGATACGCCACTCGTGGGCTCATCAGAAATATCTTGACACATTATAAACCTAGAATATTTTACGAGTTTCAAGCCTCTAGTTTCAACAGCGGCGACAAGCGAACGGACGGACAGTAAGATAGAAATTGCACAAAAGTAATATTTCACTTTTTGTTATTATATATATTATTATATTATGTATGGGTATTTGAATAGTGCTTACCATGTTTTTTTATTGCTATTTTAACATAGTCAACCATTGTCATGTCTTTCCTAAGAAAAATCATTTGAGTCTCCAGTAGATCAAAAGGTGCAACTATACATTGGCTACAGGCACCAGATATTCCACCGCTCCACCAGCGTGGTATCATTCTGTAAGATAGTCGCCGAATTCTTTCGTGGATATACAGAAATGAATTATTTCACATGTGCCACTCACTTCTTGTTGTCATCCGAGACCTTATTGGCTGCTAAAAAATTAGCCAATTTTATGTTCTGGGGTGACATTATATAGTTTGTAACGTTTTTTTTTTTCCTATTTTCAGACCAAAGTGGAATGACGCTTAGAAGTTATGTGATACTAAATGATTTTCTGTGTAATTATTGACAACTGCCTGCCATTAGGGGACACTCGAATTATATAAAAATAAACTACTAAATGATTAATATAAAAGTAGTATTTTAAATTGAACAACTTGGTAGTGTCCCACAAGCTGGATAGATCAATCACAATTTAGTTAAGTGGTTTGGCATAGTCTTGTAGAATCGAACAATGCTTCATTCGGGTCTTCTCTTAAGCATATCATGAGAATAGTCAAGATTTTATTAAAGGTCTGAAAAGGAAGCAGTATTTTGAACTAAAATTTTGTTTGCCAATTTTATTTGAAAGCTATAATTATTTTTACAAGTTATGACATTTATAGCAAATGCTTTTGCTGTTTTTAAAATCTTTGTATACCCTGAACCCATTGGAAATTGAGAAACAAGGGTACGAGTATAATGGTTTTGTGGAAATGTATGGGACCGGCAGAAAGAGGCGTGGCAAAATCATATATATTCTTGATCCTTCCTAATTTATAACAGATGTATTTCCAATACTAGAGACTTGCGCTTCTGCAAATAGACGGATTTAAATGTTATTATGAAGCTAGTCTATCTACTAATAAAGCTATTTGACAATTATATTAAACTCACACTGCAGCATTAAGGTCTTTATACGTGCGAGGAAATTAAAATATCAGTTGCTCGAAGGGATTGGGGGGTCTCGACAAAAGACCTCTTACATGTTCTAACATATTTTGATTCTTGCTTTGCATTCAAACATCTAATTACGATATAATTGCGTTTGAATAGTTTGCCACTACTTTAGTTTTTTTAGGTTGTGATAGCAGAAGCGCTGTAGGGAACGTGGATTTAGAATCGTGTACCTCCTAATCGGGCAGTATTTGACCATTGCGATTTTACGTGCTAAGCTTCCGTGTCATGTGTCATGATTGAGACCGACTTTCTAGAGTCTAAAGTTTGGCTGTCACTGAAATATTAATTTAGATAAGCATTTACCATAGTAGGTAGTTAATTTTGAAAATTTATACTTTCGCTAGAGAACATTGTTATTTTTAACTTCTTTCTGCATTGGTGGAATGCTTAATTTGGGTCATAGGTATAGGCAGATCACAAGGTACTGGCTGACGATCGCGAATTGCGGCGACCACGATGGTGGTCTGGAGGAGTGGCATCCACATGTGTAGCTTGTATATTAGCACCTTTTGATTTAATCAAAACGCATATGCAAACACAGACAAAAAAGAAGAGTATGTTAAAAACAACTGTCAAAATCATACGATTAAGAGGTGATTAAATACGTATTTTATTTGCATTTACCTTAAGACGTTTTTATCAATAATTATCCTATCGTAGGCTTTTTAGGTTTTTATGATGGTTTTACAGCGGCTGCGCTTCGTCAGTTGACATGCACAAGTCTTCGATTCTCTCTGTATGAGAACGGCAAGCACCTAGAAATATTGCAAAACTCGAATTCCATTCTTGACAAAATGTATGTTGCAAGCTTTGCAGGCATAGTTGGATCAGTAGTTGGGCTACCAATGGATGTGATAAATGTGCGGATGCAAAACGATATGAAATATGCAGAGAATTTAAGACGAAAGTACATATATGCCATTCAAATTCTTCAATGCATATGCGCACTTTAATTTTATCGATACTATCATACTATCATAGTTATAAGAGCTTTATGGATGCTCTGATCCGGATTCCCAAAGAGGAGGGGTGGATGACCCTATATAGTGGCGGGATTGCTGCTGTTCTTAAAGCAGCTATTGGAAACAGTGCCCAGCTAGCAGTCTATGACCAAGTAACTATTAATTTTTGACTTCATATATAATAGTATTTGTGTACATATATCCTTTTTTATCTGGAGAGTAGGTTAAAAGTGAGCTTCATCATCGCTTCATGTTAGAAGACGACGTGCATTTACATTTTAAGAGTTCATTAATCACGTCAATTATTGAGTCAATTATTTCGCAGCCCTTTGACGTGCTGAAGACTTTAATGATGAATGCACCACCCACACAGTTTCCGACTGTGTTCCATGCTATTAAATATATGATGCGTTTTGGATATTTGGGGCTCTACCGTGGATTGGTGCCCACAATTGCTCGAAAGGCCCCAGCCACAATATCATTGTTTATAATTTATGAGCAGTTGCGCCTTAATTTAGGTTATATTCCACTCGACTCCAAATAATGTCAAATTTTTAGTAAATTTTACCCCTGTAATTTTTGCAGAAGTTGTCAGCCTTACGTTTGTCACCTATTGACCTAATTCAAATAAATTTGGTATTCCAGACCTAGATTTCTGACGCACTGTTAGTTAATCAAAATACATACAACGGGCCTAAATCTCAATTTAATTTTTTTTGAAAAGTAATATGTAATAATGTATCAAAATAAGTTATGAAATTAATTCTATATTTAATGTTAATTTGAAAGCTTTACATATTTATTTTATTTTAAAAATTTTGAGTGTACTAAAATTAAAATTAACAAGTAAGAAGGTTGCAGTCGGGCGTTACCAATTGCAGTATACTCATTCACATCCCATCAGCAATTTAGTAGCTAAGTTTAGCTCTAATACTGTAGAAAATACAGGGATTTTTTTTCGATTTACCACGACCCTACTGGGTGTAGACACCTCATTTTTGGTCAGTTCTTAGAACGTGATAACGGTACCTTAACTACACAGTTTGTATGCTTGCCCTCAAAAAATGTGAAAATTACAGGGTATTTCCCGATAATTCGCACGCCTCTAAAGAAGCGTAACCATTATTATACCCTGAAGTCAGGGTATAATGGTTTTGTTGAAATGTATGTAACAGGCAGAAGGAGGCGTGGCAGACCCGACAAAGTATATATATTCTTGATCAGGGCGACGAGCTGAGT